ACTAAAACTAGCTTGTATTTATTTAGAAAATTTATGGCTAAAATACAAACAATTGAATGTTGTTGTTCAGTCGTGTCCAGCTCTTTGTAACCCCATTTTTGGGGATTTTCTTGGCAAAGATACTGGAATGGTTTGCAATTTTCTTCTCCAGCTCATTTTATAGACGAAGAGGCAAACAAGGTTAAATGACTTGCCCAGGGTCACACAGCTAGTAAAATCTGAGGGCCAGATTTGAACTCAAGTCTTTCTGACTCCAGTTCTGACACTCTATCCACTGCACCACCTAACTGCCCTGTTTGAAATTTAAAACAATTTAATAGGCAAATCTAAAACAACAAAGATTCACTTAGTCCTAAACATGGCTACCCACTCACATATGGTGATAAGACAAAAAGGAGAATTTAAGTGTGGAATAGATCTACCGTTGTTTGAAGTTTTCTTCTCCCCCCTTAATTGACATGGTTTGGTCACTCTTTAATGAATTCTTTTAATAAGTGAGACAGAGAAAGAAAAAAAAAAGGCTCCAACCGTGACCAGGCAAATGATCAGTTTTTATGCCTTATATCTATTTACTGCTGCTGCTGTTCACTGATACTGTACCCCATGCTCTTTGTTCCCTCTCAGGCTCTCACTGACTCTTTTCTAGAGAGATTTAAAACTGCTTCTATTTTTTTGGGGGGGGGCTAGGCAATGGGGTTAAGTGACTTGCCCAGGGTCACACAGCTAGTAAGTGTTATGTGTCTGAGGTCAGATTCGAACTCAGGTCCTCCTGAATCAGGGCCGGTGCTCTAACCACTGTACCACCTAGCTGCCCCCTTAAAACTACTTCAGCAGTGGAAACTGCCTTCTAGCTCCCAGCCTGTGATATCTCTGTGTCTTCTGGGGCTGGGAAAAGACTATAACTCTCAAGGTTTTTAGCTGCTTAACCCCCCTGACAAGGCAGCCAGTATAGTTTTGTCTCACCACACCACTTCCTTATTCAATAGATTCCAGTGGATCCCTATTGCCTCTGGATAAAAGTATTATTTTATCTTTTAAATATTATTTGTTTTCTGTTTTTATAACATAAATAATTATCTACAGGTATATGTTTTGCTGTGAGTCATTGCCATTGTGTCCAAATTTTTGTGACCCCGTTTAGGGTTTTCTTGGCAAAGATGCTAGAGGGGTTTTCCATTTCCTCCTCCAGTTCATTTTATAGATGAGGAAACTGAGGCAATCAGGGTGGAGTGCCTACCCCAGGGTCACACAGCCAGTGTCTGAAGCCAGATTTGAATTCAGGAAGATCTTCCTGACTTCCTGACTGTATGTATGTGTATACACACATATATATGCACATATTTATGTACATACCTATAGTATACATAAAATAGAAATATATTTAAATACATAATATAATCTATATCATATCTATAATATATATTATGTGTATAATATAGGAAATATATAAAACATCAATATATCTACATATACTAGGAATGCATGCTCAATTGTTTAAAATGTTGCATTGTGTGATCAAAAAAGTTTAGAGGCTTCTAGTCTAGAGCATCCTTTTAACTCAGAGCTGCCCTTGAGAAGATGGTACCCTTTAATTTCCCTTAAAACAAAATGTCATGTATTCATTAGTCAGTAGATGGCAGTCCAACACCTGTGTTTAAAAAAAAAAATTAACAAACTTTTCCCCCTGGTTCCAATGGGACATTGCATTACCTCCAGATGAATTTTAAAGACTTATTCACTTTACCAGTCTTCTCTAGAGAGGGGTAGCAGTGCTTCACAATATGTTGGTTATGCAAACATATACTTCTTGAAATTCAAAGAACAAAAGCAGATCCGCTACTTTGAAAGTCGAAAAATCCTTCCTTAGTCCCTTAGTATCCAGTTCTGAGCAAGCTTGGGATTATGTCTCTTGATTTTCTACTTGACATGAGCTCAGATAGCCTTGTAACATCCTTCCTCTTTATTCCCTCTTGAATCTTTGATACCTCCCAGATGTTCTCTTTTCATTTCCTCTTCTTAGAGTATGTGAAATTATTAAGTAAACATGAAATTGTTTCAGGGAAGGGAACAAAGCTATACAACTTAGTTAGCCTGTGGCCACTTACATACTTGTGGTTGGTATGTTGTTATGTGGTGATGCTAAACTGTTGATTCCTGAGAATTGAATCGTATTGTCACCTTGGGAGGTCTAAAAGTAGGGAGTCAGAAGTCATGGGTTCAAGGCACAATTCTGCTGCTCACCGGCTGTATGATCTAGAACAAATCACTTACCTTTGCTGGGTCTCTGTTTCCACATCTAGGTAACACAAAGAAGTTCATTTGGATTAGGCGATCTCTAAGGTCCCTTTTAGTTTTAATGGTTGATGAGCCAATGCCATGAAAAGAAATTGAGTTCTGTACTTGTTTTGCAGCTTACATCTCTGTGCAGGCAAATTCTTCTTTGAACTATCCTACTCTTTCTCTATAACACACCCCTTCCCTTTTTCTGTAGAGTAAGAAAAAGAACTTTTTTGCTCCTGATGTGCAGGGAAGAAAGTCATTTTAATCCAAGACTCCTTACCCTTTGATATTTTTAATATCTTAAATTTGCATAGTACTTCTCCTCTAACACCTTGATAAGCTTGCCTAAAGGGGGGGGCTTCATCTCATTTATCTTCATCATCCCTGTGAAATCAGTAGGAGGGGGGCAGCTAGGTGGCACAGTGGATAGAGCATGAGCCCTGAAGTCAGGAGGACCTGAATTCAAATCCGACCTCAGACCAAACACTTGACACTTACTAGCTGTATGACCCTGGGCAAGTCACTTGACCCCAACTGCCTAAAAATAATAAAAAAAAATTAAAAAAAAAGAAATCAGTAGGAGGCTGAAAAATTATTTGCATGTTCCTTAAAGAAATTCTTTATAAAATATACAAAAATTCATATATATAGATATCATAGCAGATTCCTTATGTCTAGAAAATCAATGTATCGATGTTAAAACTGTAAATATAGTTAACTTGTGGTCTACAGTCCAGACAAAGCTTGATAGTACTTTTCTATGTTACTTTCTATATTTCTATATTATTTTCTAGAATTACCTGGTGCTTATGTGACTGGCATTCTGAGAATCTTGCATGCTCTTGCCATAATTTGCCCTCTTTTAAAAAATCTTTTAATCTACTCCTGTGCATGTGATAATTTTCTAATTTGTATTTTGACAGTTTGTGTATGTGTTTCATTTCCCTGCTAGTAAGCAGTTTGAGGGGAACTGTCATTTTTCACTGGATTCCAAGTGTTGGACCTAGAATCAAGAGGCTTTGGTTCAAATCCTGGTTCGGATGGTGTTGTTGCTCAGTCATTTTTTTAGTCGAGTCCAACTCTTTGTGATCCCATTTAGGATTTTCTTGGCAAAGATACTGGAGTGGTTCACTGTTTCCCTCTTCAGCCCATTTTACAGTTGAGGAACTGAGGCAAACAGTTAAGTGACTTGCCCAGGGTCACACAGCTAGTAAGTTTTTGAGGATGGATTTGAACTCAAGAAGAAGCGTCTTCCCGGCTCCAAGTCCAGTCCTCTATCCAGTGTGCCACCTAGCTGGTGGGCTCTGATATTAGCTGGTGATAATGGGTAAATCATTCTTTGGCCTGAAGTTCCTCATCCTTAAAATGAGGATATTGCTTCTATCACTTCAGAGTTGTTTTGAGGAAAGCACTTTTTAAACATCTGAGAGATGTGCAAATGGAGTTATTTTACTTTTTAAAATCTTTCTATGTCATCTTTAGTTCAATGCTTTAGGCAATTAATGAATGTTTGCTGGATTAAATTTTTATGTGAATCAAAGGGGTAGGTGGACCTCTGAGAAACTAACAACATTGATAAAAGTACAAGCATAGGCACCATGATACTGGCATACCATGTTCTTCCTTGCAAAAATGAACTGGCAACATTTGTCCATCACCCAGGAGACACAGGCCATTGATTGAGGCCGTTCTAAAATGATTTGCACGAAGGCCTTTTAATGCTTGCGTGTTCAGCCTTGCTTCTAGCCACAGGAAAATAGAAAATTTGCAAAATAGCCCTCACTGTTTGTAGAAAATACCTAATAAAATGAATATGGATATGAAAATCAGTGGGATAAATCATATGATTTCATGTGCAGATGTGTATCTGTAGGAAAGGTTATGGGAAGTACAATTCCAGGTGGAAGGAGGGACTGAAGGATGATGTGAGGTAGGAGTGTAAAAGGATAGGGAAGCCTGGAAACTTTAAAGCTTTGTTGAGAGTAAAGGGTTAAATGGCGCAATGGGTAGAGTGACAGGCCTGGAGTCAGGGAAACTCATCTTTGTGAGTTCAAATCTGGCCTTAGATACTTCCTAGCTGGGTGACCCTGGGCAAATCACTTCTCCCTGTTTGCCTCAGTTTACTCCTTTGTAAAATGAGCTGGAGAAGGAAATGGCAAACTACTCCAGTATCTTTGCCAGGAAAACCCCACAGGGGTCAAGAAGAGTAACATATGACTGAAAAACCAGTGAACAACAACAATAAAAAGAACAAAGGGGATCCAGGGTAGGCATATGCCAGCACCAGAAATTGAATATAATTGTGAGCAGTTGGAGCCCCATATGGCTACCCTGAAAGATTGGTCTATCTGCTCAGAACTTACTTGTTTCCTGAGTGTCCCTGCTTGGAAGTAGAACTTGCCCAATTTATCCACTTTTCATTTTCTCCCCTTGGTCTGTGTTCTTTCGTGCTATTCTTCCTCTGTCCAGCTAGGTAGAGCTGACTTGTGTCTTACTGCTCCAGCCCTTGCGTCTGATGGTGGTTTGTAAGCCGGGTTCTCTTCCATTAATGAGTCTGCAGGTGTGTTGTTATTGGAGATCAGAGGATACAGTCTCAAAGCTTTGTTCCTGACGTTCTTGTTTGTATTTCACGGGCTATGTCACAATCTTGAATTTCAGGCATGGGAGTTTAAAAGACCTTCCTGTGGGGCTTTTGAGTCATAGTTTTGTTTTAGGAATTATCTTATAACTCTCCTAAGCTGGACCTTAAAACTTGAACTTGAAGCTCACTTAGATTTCTCCTGGAAGACTTTGAGTTGATGGAAACCATGGCGTTGTGGAGGGCATGAACTGATTTATCATGCTGAGATTCGTTCATTTTTTTACCTAAAGGGACATAGGAAAGGTTAGACCTCTAGTATTTCACAGCAGCATCTATTATTAATACATGAGTATTTGCTCTATTTCCCAGACTAGATTGTAACCTTTTGAGGGAAGGGATCTTATAGAGTATTGGCTAAAATATATATATTGAGTAAAAACAAATGATTATTAATTAACATGTAATCTTTTCCCAATGTACATGAATTTCTGCTGTAGGGTGTGGTGATTCATAGGAATAGTAGCAAAAGCAGTGCATTTTTAGCCTTTGGAAGCACTTAGGGAGAGAGAAATATATTACTGTATTTCTCATTTCCTTCATTTTTGTTCAAACTGAGGTACTGACTGTTTACTTATTCTAATTTGTGATCTGTTTATTTTAGCAGTTTCTTCCAGATTTCTGTTGCTTCTTTATATGACACATTCTCAGTGAATTTGAAAACCTAATTGGAGCAATCCTAGTCCAAGGACATTGGAAGAAGGTGAGAATCTTTCCTTTTCATTCTGGTACCACATTATTTAGCTGTTTTCCCCCACCCAGAATTATGTTTTTTTTGTTTGTTTTTTAAGTATTTATTCATTTTTGGTGAATAAATCAGAAAAGATTTATTAAGTAACCACTATATGCAAGTCACTACTGGTGCTCTGGATGCCCTCGAGGACTCTACATTCTACTGGGAGACACAACTCATTAACACATAAATAGTTAAAGGACCTAAGAAAGATGCCTTCTGCATCGAGAGAAAGAACTGATAAATAGAAGTATGTATAGAACAATTTTACTTATATACATCTATTTGTGTCTAATAATGGCCATCTCTAGGGGAAGGGGAAAAAAAGGTTACATAAGTATGTTGTATATTTAAAAGGAATAGCAAGTTATACATAGCAGATTTGCAGTTTCATGTGCAATTATCTTTTTTTATTATACTGTATTATGGAAATGTTTGTTTTATTCCATAAATTAAAAAAATAAAATTTAAAAACATATAAATAAATACAATATAATTTGTGGAAGGATAGACCACTAACATCTCAGAGCATCAGGAAAGGTTTCGTGTTAGCAATAGCATCTGGATTGGACCTTGAAGGATGCTGAAAAGATTCTAGATTGGAGTGTGCTGGTAAATGCTTAATGATTGACTGAAATAAAAATGTATCCATAACACACTTTTAATATTCAGTATTAACATTTTTCCATCACTTTCTTAAGACTAGACAATCAATATAACAATAAACCAATCCCTACTTTATAACCATTTGCTGATTTCTTTTTTTTTAAAAATATATTATTTATTTTTAACATTAATTTAACAAAAATTTCAAGGCTCCCTCTTGCCCCTCCCCTGCTGATTACAAAGGGAAGCAATATGATAGCAATTATACATATGAAATCATGCAAAGCATTTTAAGATTAGCCATGTTGCAAAAAACCCCAAGAAAAATAAAGAAAGTGAAAAAATTATACTTTATTATGCACTCCCAGTTCATCAGTTCTTTCTCTGGAGGTGGATAGCAATTTTTTTTTTATCACAAGTCCTTTGGAATTGTCTTAGATCATTATACTAATCACAGTAGCTAAGTCTTTCACAGTTGATCATCTTTACAATATTGTTAGTACTGTGTACTCCTGGTTGTCCTGGATTCTGCTCACTTCACTTTGCATCAATTCATAGAAGTCTTGCCAGGTATTTGCTGATTTCTGAGGTGTAAATGTTTACACTGATAGGTTATAGCTGACACCAGCACACCCCTGATTTTGAGAGACAGAAGTGAGGGGATAATACATTCTAGGCATGGGGACAGATCATACTAAAGCAGAATGAGGAATTGAAATGCTGAATTCTACCTCAAAAAAAGATTTTAATGCTTGGCCCAAGTGGGTTTTTACTTAAGTATCTAGGATGACTTTAAGCACAACCCAACACCCAAGGTGTTGACTTGGTTATTTGCATTGCACTTAGTTGTGTTCATAAGAGAAAAAAATGTTAAGTGGAGAAGCTGAGTCATCCTTCATTTCTATAGCCAACTGTGCCTTTTGCAATCCACAATGACATTGCATAATATTTACAGGTCTCTATGGATTCCTCAAACACGTGACATGAACATGTAATTGACCATTTTTCTTTTAGTCTGGTTCTCCCTCTCTCCCCCAAACTCTCTCAAACTACCATTTTTGATTGGTTTCATTCTTGAACTAGCGTGAAGGAACATCACTGAAATTGCTTTCCTCAAAGCAGGGACCTCCTCATAAGTAAGCGCAATACAGCACAATTCATCCATTAACTATCTGTTTGAGGGAAATCACAGCTGACCATGCATCCTAGTAGTTCTTTAAAATGAAAGGTGCCTTGGATTCCACTCCTGCCTTGACAGTTAGCTTAGAGAGGTGGGAGTGAAGAGATTTATCTTTGTCCTTTTCTCCAAAAGGAAATTGGTTCCTTGTTTACAGTTCCTTGTAGCAGTCTATTTCTCAATTTGGAAGTTTAATTCAAATGCACCTTCCATCCTGACTCCAAAGGAACCAGGCTTCCTTTGTCTACCGGACCCAGGAAACCCTTAAAGTTTTAGAAACTGCCTTATTTCCCTTTAAAAGCCCTTTGAAAGCAAACTTCCCCTTCCAGCTCCCTTCATTATCTATTCTCATTTCAAATCACTCAGACATTCCAAAGGGAAATTCTCACCTGGACCCTTTTCCAAAGGGTCCACCTGCCCCATCAACTGGCTTTCCCATTGTTTTGCCTTCCTAGCCATTCCCATCCTTAATCCTAGCTAGGCGCCAGTGTTCCTTTCGCCCCAGCTTGCTGGCCACCCCCATCCAGATCTCCCTAGACCCCTCCTCCCCTCACCCCAAACTGCTTGGCCACTCCTTGGACCCCTCCTCCCATCACTACAAGCTGATTGGCTCCTCCCCAATCAGTCTATACTAAAGGCTCACCTTTCCCCCATTCTGATGCTGAGCTGTTCTCAAGCTTAGAAGCTGAGACCCCTCATGCCCGCCCTAATGGCATCACCTGGCCTGACCACATTAGCCCCAGTCCCCACTCAGACTCTGAGCTTTCTAGACTGCCTCACGCTGCTCTTTCTTGTGAGCATCACCTGACCACCTTGAACCCTATTTAGATCACTGATGTTTGGGGTTCCTTTGGAGTCTGGCCTATGTGCTTATCTTTAATTAACTTTCTCTGGCTGGAAGAAGATCTGAGTTGAATTCATTCAGGCAGATCCGTGCCCTGATTTGGGCTTTCTCGCACAATCTTGGGGTGCCTCTGTGCATCTAAGAGCACCTAAAAAAACCCCCCATCTTCAGGAGGAGGAAATAATAATTTTTGGCTGAATACTTTAAGATTTCAAGATGAAAATACAAAGGCAAAAATGTGATGCATTGTTTATCGGCTGTGAGACTGGAAATTCTGGGTATATAATTTTTTTGTTAACTCTGGTGAGTTCTTTAGACAGGTTTCCAAGAAACAACTCTAGGGCAAAGGAGACAGTTACTCTGTTCAGATTTTTCTTCTAGAGTTACATGATTTAGGGATCCAAAAAAGCCATGTTTTGGAATTCATCCAAAACACACGTGCATATGTTTCTTTCTTGACCACAATTCTTCCAACACAAATCAGACTGAGAAGCTTCCTACAGTTCCAGATGGTTGGAGTGTGAAAATATCTAATTACTGTTTCCCACTGGAATTCACGCCAGCCAGGGACTATGGTACATTTGTGGACCTCTGCCCAAATAACATCCTCTTTCTCTCTGGTGTCTTGTTATTCTGGTTCTTATTCTTGCTTTTCAGTTATTGTTGCAGACTAAGATGAACTAACCACTTGCGGTTTGTCTCCCCATATCCTGCTTTTGTTAATTTAGTATCTAGTCCTTCTATAGAGGAAGGGTTCTTTTACATTAGGCTATTCAAAATGATAGAACTCTTAAATACAGATATAACAGCTAAGAAATTTTGTAAAAAAAAAAATCACTGATTTCAGGACACATTTTTCTGCCTGTTTTTTTTATTCTGTGTCAGCTCAGAGGTCAGTACAAATCTCATAGGGTTAATTCTGAAGTATCCATATGAAAATTATTCATATGAATTATTGGCTGAAAATATGTAACTGCAGACTGGTTTCCCTTTTCCACTTAATAGGTTTTGGATTCCTTGTCAATTCCTTGTCAATTCCAGTTATCAGCGATTGTGAGCTCTGAGAAGACAAAATAATGTTAAAATTAGAATCAGCAAAAAATAATTAGGAGGTAAAACGTTGTTTTATTAACAATAAACATATATGTCCAATATATCTTTAGAGTATTCGTTGTTTTGGTGAATCTATCTATGAAATACAATCAATCAGGAGTTGACCAGGCATCCTATTTCCTCAGAGACATGCTTGTCAGCTTCTGACTGTTGACCTCTTTTATAGGATCAAGCAAATTCTATCTTTCATACTTTCTGCTCAAGTCAACATCTTTAGGAGAAGCCCTCCAAGAAATGTTTTTCTTTCCTTCACAATACCTCTTGTCCTGCATTCCTTTGTTTTTCTAGGAAGTAAAAAGTCTTGTTTTGACTTGTTAACAGTCATTCATTTTGACTTGTTAACATTCATTGTGTTGCCAGGAAAAGAAATCTACAGTTGATAATTAGAGACTTAGAGCCTTGCTATTGACCAAAGTGAGAAGGGAAAACTGCAGAGATTGTTTAGACCTTTTTCTTAACTTTTTTTTTGTCTTATAACCTTTGACAGTCTGTTGAAGTTTATGGACCCATTCTCAAAATAATGTTTTTAGATACATAAAGTAAAATATATAGGGCTACAAAGGACACCAATAATTCGAAATATAGTTATTAAAATGTATTTTAAAAATTTGTAACACAGTAACCTGCCTGATAGTGGGTTTAATGACCATAGGTAATTTCAAAGTCTAAATATTTCAAAATTTTCCTGATGTTGGGAAAGGTCGAAGGTAAAAAAGAGGGGATGGCAGAGGATGAAATGGATAGATAGTATAATGGAAGCAATGAACATGGACTTAGACTGTGAGAGATGGTCGAGGATAGAAAGTTATGGTGTGCTATTATCCATGGGGTCATGAAGAGTTAGACACGATTGAATGATGGAACAACAACAAAAATTTCAAAGTAGCAATGGTCATAAATGATATTTCAAGATATTGGCAATACCTGTGATGTGATAAGTTATTATCTGTGTTTTCTATTGGTGATAAAGTAACAGGTTATGGCTAACACTTCTTGGATTGTTGCCTATGTTCATAATTGAAGGAAATGTTAAATTTAAGTTGGAAATTATTGAAATTGAAGACGTCATTTTTTTCTCATCTAAGTTCAGAGTTGACTCCAGTTAAAAGCCCCTGGTTTAGGCTTTAGGTCTACACTTTACTTCTGGTAACTTGCTTCTGATAAATATAAGAACTGACATGGATGGGCCTTGAAAAACGTTTAGCCCTTCTCTGGAGTTGGCAGGATTGCTTCAATTAGAGATATTTGAAGGAAAGGGAGGAAAGTACTTGGGAGGATTGAAGATGAGATTTGACAGATCCCTGGAATGGTTAAGAGGGAACTATCTAGCAACTTTTAGTATATATGAAAATCATTATCTCAGCACATTGAATGTTGTCTGGCTTTTTTCACTGACAAAATCAAGCATATTAAGAATACGTTTTAAACCATATGAAAGGTGGCAGAGTAATAAAGAGAGATGCATTAGTCATTCAACAACAATTATTAGTATTATTAATACCATGCACCATGTGAGGCAATGGGGACAACGATTCCAAAGAATGAAACAATCCTGAGTCTCAAGAAACTTACATTCTGGGGCAGCTAGGTGGCACAGTGGATAGAGCACTGGCCCTGGATTCAGGAGGACCTGAGTTCAAATCCAGCCTCAGACACATAACACTTACTAGCTGTGTGACCTTGGGCAAGTCACTTAACCCCATTGCCTAGCCAAAAAAAAAAAAAAAAGGAAAAAGAAAAAGAAACTTGCATTCTAACCAAGGATGCCACGAGTATGTAAATCATTATCTTTAGAATAAATATAAAGAGAATAGAGATAACTACAAATAGATAAGAAGGTAGGTAAGAGGGAAGACAGTAAGAGTTGGCAGTGTCAGGAAAGGTTTCATGTAGAAGGTAGTATTTGAGCTGAGGTGTGAAGGTAGAGATTCTGAGAAGTAGAGGTGAATAGGCAGTGCATTCCAGACGTAGAGGAAAGCCAAAACAAAGGCACAGAGATGGGAAATGCAGTGTCATGTTTGAGGGAGAGCTTAATTTGAATGCAGAGTGTAGGAAAAGATGGAAGGTATAATGAAGCTGGAAAGATAGGTTGGTACTAGATTGTGAAGGTCTTTAAAAGCTTAACAGAGGAAAGTATTATTTTTCACTGTCAATTCCCCACTATAAAAGATGGAATTGGAATGGCTTCTGTAAACTGGCACAGTAAGTGTATGACTCAGTTATTTTAATAACTGACATTTAGATAGTACCTGCCACAAAGTAGGTGTTTAATAAATTCCTATTGATTGATTGATTTATATAGTTCTTTAAAGCTGGTAAGGCTCTTTACACCTATTACCTCATTTGAGCTTCAGAAAACATCTGAGAGGTAAGTGCTACAAGAATTATTATCTTGAAGGTCTTTAAAAGCTAAACAGAGGAGTTTGTATGGTCCACTATCAACTCCTATCACCAATGGTAGAATTGGAGTTGCTTCTACAAGCTAATACAATAAATATGTCCCTCAGTTATTTTAATGATAACAATGACATTTATATAGTACAGTATCTGGCATGGAATAAGTGTATAATAAACACTTCTTAATTGTTTAATTTATATAGTGCTTCAAAAGCACGTTATGTTATGTAGATGTACAAATGTTGGAGAGGTAAATGCTTTAAGAATTATTATCCCTACCTACCAATGAGAAAACTGAGGCATAGAAAGGTTGAATGACCTTTCCATGATCACAAATTGAGTATCAGAGATAAGATCTGGACCCAGGTCTTCCTGAATCCCTTGTCTAATATGCTATCAGCCTATACCAATAGTGTCAAACTCAAATAGAAATGGGGGCCACGTAGTTTTACTTCTGGAAGCCAAGATGACAGAGTAAAAAGTAAGTCACTCTTACCCTACCTCTGAAAGCCCAGAAAATATTGTCCCAGGAAAAACCCTGGAACAGTTGAACCAGCAGAAGACAGGGTGCAGCAGTCTTGTAGCCCAGGAAGCTTGGGGGATTAATGGGAAAGGGCCCTCTCTCTTTGGGGGAGGGGGAGCAGTACAAAACAGGAGATGTCCCAGCAAGCTAGTGGAAAGCCCTACTTCAGCATATCAGGGGGAGATCCTGAATCCCAGCGTGGTGGAGCAGGCAAGCACCAACACCAGGACCTCCAAGTGCCTCAGTATGGTCAGAGGAACCGGTGGACACTGGCTAGGAAAACCACCAAGTGCCATGGCATTCTTTGGCAGCCAAGCCTCCCAGTGCCTTAGCAAAATTGTGGGAAGCACAACTTCAAGAAGTAAAACTCCAGCCTGCGTAACATCTTCCAGCAATGAAATATCTTTGTGCAAGGCCTGGGTGAGCAGGCATTCTCCAGGGGCCAGACTCCCTACCATTACTCCTAGAGTCCAGTGTTGCTGATTCCAGCCCAACACCAGGTAAGCTGCCAGAAACCTACAGCCTCCAACTGTCACGCCCCAGCGCACAAAGCCAGTGACCAGGCCCTGGGCTCCCAGCACAAGGCACTTGGGTCAGTGCTCCCTGCTCTCCAGCAGGACAGCTCATTTTTTTTAAAGGTTGGGAAATAAGTAAACATGATGAGCAAAAAGAAATGTATAGTGGTCATTGATTCTTATTATGTCAATAGGAAAGATTAAGGCAAAAATTCAGGAGGATGACATTGTCAATATACCCACATCTGAAACCTCAAAAGGGAATAAGAACTAGGCTCAAGCCCAAAAAAGCCTTCTTGGAAGAGCTCAAGAAGGATTTTAAAAGTTAAATAAGAGAGGTAGAAGAAAAATTGGGAAAAGAAATGAGAGGTATACAAGAAAGAGTCAATAGCTTGGAAAAGAAAGGACAAAAATTAACTGTAGAAAATAAGTCCTTAAAAAACACATTGGCTAATGGGAAAAAAAATACACTGAAGAAAACAACTCCTTAAAAAGCAGAATCAGCCAAATGGAAAAGGAGGTACAAAATCTAATAGAAGAAAACAATTCTTTAAAAATTAGAATTGGGCAAGTGGAAGGTAATGACTCTATGAGAGAGCAAGAATCAGTCAAACAGAAACAAAAGAATGAAAAAATAGATGAAAACACAAAATACCTCATTGGTAAAACAACTGATCTGGAAAATAGATCTAGGAGAGACAATTTAAAAATCACTGGTCTACCTGAAAACCATGATGAAAAAAAAGAGCCTACATAGCATCTTTCAGGAAATCATCAAGAAAAACTGCCCTGAGAAACAGAGGGTAAAATAGTCATTGAAAGACTCCACCAATCACCTCCTGAAAGAGATCCCAAATTGAAAATGCCAAGGAATATAGTAGCCAAATTCCAAAATTACCGGGTTAAAGAGAAAATACTGCAAGCAGCCATAAAGAAACAATTTAAATATTATGTCACATCACAGTCAGGATTACACAAGACCTTGCAGCTTCTACATTAAAAGATCAGAGGGCATGGAATATGACAATCCATAAAACAAAGGGGCTTAGATTACAACTAATGATCAAGTACCCAACAAAACTGAGCTTAATCTTTCAGGAAAGGAGATGGACATTCAATGAAATAGGGGACTTCCAAACCTTCCTGATATAAAGACCAGACCTCAACAGAAAATTTGATCTTCTAATACAAAACTAAGGAGAGACATAAACATGGCAGAAAAAAAACAACATGTTATTAATAAGAGCAAACTGTTTACATCCCTACAAGGGAAGATGACACTTGTAACTCTTGAGAATTGTATTGTTATTACACCATTTAAAAGGGGTATACATAGACAGAGGGGGTGGGTATAAGTTGACTTTGATGTAATGATAAAAAATCTAATTAAGTGGGTTAAGTGGATCTAAGTAAATGAACTAAATGGATCTAATTAAGGGATTGTACTGGAGAAAAGGAAAGGAGGAGGCATACAAGGATAAATTCATTACATGAAAAGGCACAAAAACTTATTACAGTATTGGGGAAGAAGGGAGGAAGATGAACATTGAATCTTACTCT